ATCTAATTAAGAACAATTAAAAGTGGTTTAAAGAGTTTAATTGGCGCGGCTACCCAAGACGCGTTCATTCAACGATCATTAAAGAAATACTCGCAGCTTATACGAGAACGAGCGTTTAGTCGCCTATAAATTATAAACTGCCTTTCGTTTGCGTCCCAGAACCTATGGGATAGGCTACTCCTCGTGGTATTTTTCAATGATTTTTCTCTTTTTGTTTAACGTAGACATTATTCTCGGATGACACTCAAGCTTTTGTAATCTTTCATGCAGTTTCTTCCATAATGAAGTTAAGCTCAAAAAAAGGACAATATTCATTCCAGAGACGTCAACGTCGTTTCCGTCATTCTTTGTAGTTTTCGAAAAATCCCACGATGCGTATTTTGTGAGGCGTTAACGCGCCTTCTTTATACCGTTTTCTTTACATCTCGTCGAGTTTTCAGTAATGAGGACGTGTTATGCAAATCAGCGAGATATTGTAACTGTCCCGCGAACGGTACGCAAACGCGTCATCTTTCCGGCTTACGCGTGAGTAACAAAAAACAATTTAATGATATATTCCGTCTTTTGTCAAATAAATTCCGTTTTCGATCTCTGCAGCGAATAATCACCGAGGTGTATTTAGTTTCCCGCGTTCATTTTACGACTTAATAAACCGGGATAAAATAGCTGGTATATATATGATGGTATACCGATTAACAAGTCACGTTTCTCGGAGAACATCATGCTCTCATCTCTTCAAGAGAGAAACAATCCCGATAAATCAGGATGTCTCGGCTCCGTTTTACACGCCGAACGCCGAGAAGATATATGTATATATTTTGTATATACACGTACATACATACTGATCACTCCAATTTTCTTCTGCTCGATAATGTGCTTCGTGGATCAGTACCGCGCGGTATCTAAATAATGTATCAAGAATACACCTCTCTGAGTCATAACACAGCATCTTTCTACTTCTTTCTCTTATTCGCGCGGTAATATCTTGTGTATCTTTATGTTTGGAGATATGCATTTTGTTGCTTATTATCTTTATAACTTGAAAGATATAAATTCAAACTATTATAAGGCCAGAAAGAGAAATCAAACGCTCGATAAACATGCAAAATATATATTTTACTGATCTTATTATTAACAAGTCAAGGAAGTTCGATTAAAATTCTGCTCTGTCCACGACTGTATAAATTTCTTTGCTATTGTTGCGTCCGCCTAAGAAATGAGCACGAGCGTCTTGGTACTTATACATAAGGCATAACCATGATCGAGCACACTGAATGTGGGCGAGAAACTCTTTGTACGCGCTCGATTTGCAAGTAGGAAAACGAGCTAAGGAATCTCCGAGAAATTATCTGTCCAACACATTCTCGTTTTGCGTGAACGTGCGAACAACAAACACACAACCTCGAATATTTTCCTCTGTTATTATCAACTTGTTTGTTTGTTGTATCGATTATCAGTTATGATAATAACGGATGTAAAATATTGAGCAATATCACAGTCTAGATCGACCGATATGTTGCGCGAACGAAACGTTGCCCGTCTACATATAAAATGTGCAAAATAAACAATTTGTCCATGAGACCAAGTATGACGTATGATCTAATTATAGGATGTGAGCGCAAGAAATTTATCAATATCGAGATAATTTCAATTATTTTACGCTATGTTTTTAATGCGTCTGCGATAAACGCTGTTCGTGGTGTATAAGCTACAATTGTTAGCAGATTGTTACACGTGTAACAGGGCGGCATGCGCGCAACAGGTTTTTTGCAAAATTCATCAAGCGGCACGCCGGGAAAGCTTGAAAATTCCTACGTTCCTGATGACATTAATTTATCGTCGCGCGCTATTTGCGTAACGCTTTAACGCAACAACGGTGATAATGGCTTTATAATGGCAACGAAATCGCTCGCGCGCGCCAAGCGTGTATCGAGTTCAGGGTCGTTCAGGATCTTACTGTCATGCATTTTGCAGCATATTATATGCCACACAAAGTGCCTCCCGTGAAAGACGAGATTTCGTTCTGCGCATTCGTCTTAAGCGCTTATTTTCATTGTTCACGAGCAAGATCTAAATTAGTTTTACATAGAGAAAAGAAGCGAAATTAAAAGAGAACGAAAAACATGTTTCCTACAAATACAGTTAAAGTACAATGTTTACAGCCTGTTTCCGATGCGGAACTTCGCTCTTAAAAGGAATCTATATAATACATGCGTGATTTCGGTTAAGAAGAGGCTGAGCGTTTCATTATCGATCAAAGTGCAATGCGGTTTTCCCTTCCCCCCGTCCCTTTCGCGTTACGGTCTCTTCCAGTGTATGGTATAGCGACACGCAAGTGCGGCGAGCACATACGAATGCGCGCATTCGTCCGCGTGTTCGAGAATCACGTTTGCGCGCGACCGCAGCACACGTGGGTGACGGTTGCAACTCGCGAGGAGACGCCGCCGCCCGCTGCTTCTCTCGTTTATGTTCGCCTGATACAACCGCGATCAAGACGTTTGCGCAAATCGCGTTACGTGGACGCGCATACGCGCTCCACGCATGCTATCAATCGCGCGTGTCACGTTGTCTTCTTCACCAGTCTTCACCTCGCACAGTCCGATGGCTGCGCTAATGAGAGCAGTTGTGCCGAGTCGCCGCGCGAAAACAGAAAAATAAATAATCGCAGAAATGTTCAAGTAGACACATAAAATTTCACAAACAAAAATGTACGGCGTTTTCGATTAGTGCCCTGATTAGATGTACATTTACGGTCTGATAAATTTGTGACGACGATCATCGTGTATGCGTGTGTGGCTCATTTGCGCGGCAGGAGAGAAACCGTGGAAATCAAGCGATAAACGTCTTTCCGCGACGATCAATTTCGGGCTTGATAGCTCAGAAACAGGATCTGGAAACGCGTGACGGAGAAATCAAGCGATTTGTATCGAGCGAATCGCGCGAACGCATGGAACGACTCTTGGAATTCCGTAGCTCATTGAATCAGATTTATGTTCAATACTACTGAATATCTGGATCGCGAAGATGCGTTCTGATTCTCACGATTTATCTCGTATTTTCGAACAAAAAGACTATAATTGTGATACTGCTTCGAAGAGACGAAGACCGACATTTACATTTATATATTTGGATCAAGGAACGACTTTTGTTTTTGGTTTTTTGGGGGTTTTTATCGATTATTTATCTGTACAACATTGAAATTGTTGAAAGAAATTGATCGAAGATAAGTACTTGATATTCGATAGAGTAAATTCGGTTATACAGGTTTTTCTTAATCAAATTCCATAGGATTTTTTAGCAAGGTAATGCGAATAGAAAGAAATCGCCTCTGTGTCCTCAAAAGTCCTCTAGTCGCCCACTTTTTGCGTGGTGCATTCAGTAAAGTCGTATGCACTTCGAGGTCGCGCAGCAGCGAGCGGCGGCGCATGGCGCGAGACTCTGATCGGCGCACGTGCCATGTGCATTCTGCTCTCCGGATACATGCGTGGCATTACGTATGTTCGGACGTGTGTCCCGGACGTGTCGTGTCTCTCACCTTGCGCCACTGATCTCCTGAGGTACATATGTATCGGCGGCGGTTGCTTGACACGCGCATGCCTGACCTGGAAAGAGCGGCACATGTTCCAGAGAATGATATTCTTCCATCTCTTTCGAAACATCATTTTTTTTTGCAGAAAAACAGTTAAAAGCTTCATTGATTGTTTTTGAATAAATTTTTAAGTAAAGTTTTTAAGAGAATGTTTGAATATATACATGTTTATATATATACACATATTTAAGATATTAATCACTAATTAACAAACATATGTGACGTAATAGGGCTTAAAAGTTGATGAGAGAGAAAGAGGGAAAAAGAAGAAGAGAAAATTAATCGACTGTCAAGAAAATAATACAAAAAAAAGCGTAATAGTCGAGTGAAAAATCAATTTACACGCTTGAAGCTTGGTGGTCTCTCCGCGTAAACGCGAGAAATGAACCGATGTTTTTTGTCTAGGCTTATCAGAAACTGCAGAAGAACAAAACTGAAAGTGAAAGCAAATTTACAACAGGAATAAACATCAAAGGCAAAAGAAAGAGTGAGTTTTTTTGTTTAAAGATAAACTGTCCGTGATGCAAAGCTTCGGAAAAATCACTCAAAAGTGGAGAGTTGTGAGATTCCGCTCTCAAAAACTACAATTACCCCTGCGGTTTGTAATATAATAACATAATTGTGCAAGCTACTCTGCATCGCTCTTTTATGTGGAATGTATTCTATTTATACCGCCGGTATCAAATCCTAATGACAGATTTCTGGAGACGATGAGTTATTTTTTCTCATTCCCCGGAAATTTTATTGGATCGTTTTTGCCTAAGCATTATTCGACTTGCTTTTCTTTCGCCACGTGTAGCGCGATCGAGAACCCGAGAGGGAGACGTGCAAATCCATTTTAATGGATCCCGCGATGCGTTCGCGAATACGACCGTCTCAAATCGGATAGATATCGGATAATTAAATAATTTCATCAGGGCTCTGCGTGCAGATAATCAATGGGATTCTGTCGCTTCTCGCGTCAAGGTCGCAAGAGGGTTCAAGGCCGATCGTTTCCTCGCGCGAGAGAAAAGCGAAACGCGAGCACGCGCGATGCGCAATGCGTGAGAATTACAAGAGATCAGGAGCCGAACAGAACGTTCATCCGGAACGAATCTCGAGCAACTTTACCGGAGAAAATTGATCCTGCCTAATCGCAGAAAATGTGTATAATTTTAGGGAAATTTGCGACAATTACCGAAGAAATAACGATATTTTAGCGCGTAACTGCGCGTAAAAAAGGTTTCTAAAATCTACCTTTTGTTTTCGCGCGCTATGGTTACAACACAAAGATAAACCATTTCGTAGTTTTTTAAATTTTAAACTAAATTAACGAGATTTTCATTAATTATATAATAGGTAAAAAATAATGAAATTAATACGTATAAAAGAGATCTTAAATTGATTTTTACTTTATTGTCTTTCTATTTTCTGTGTGTGAACTCTTCCCTCTACATCCTATATTTGCGTGATACATAAAGCTTTATTCATATCAAGTTCACGTTTGAGTCACAGACATTTTATCATCTCTTCAGAGTTCACGTATAGACGTCTTGTGTTGTATCGCGTCTACATTTTCAATGTCTCGATCCTTCCGTCAGCATTTGTGTAGATGCAAGAAATTGATTGCGATATATATATGCGCAATCATCTCGTACTCCCGCGCGAATGCTGCACATTTTTGCGCGACGCCGAGCGTAACAATCGTAGTCGAGAGCTATCACACACGTTTGATCTAATAGACAGCCGGAGGCTGCAATGGCTGGACCGCCGGGTCTTTCCGCGAGATCCTCTTTATTCCACTCTTCGTCTATCGTATAATATCTGTTCATTGTCTCGCCGCCTATACAATGAGGAAGACATTGCGGTACTTCGCGTAGAGAAAACAGCGTGAGTTATCGTAACTTGCAGGTTTAATCCCTGCGAGAATGCTCGCGGAATAATGCGTCTTAGAGAACACGTTTTATGACTCTCGCTGGGATTACATTCTTCAGAGTTTCAAATTACATTTTCCATACGAGACATTTAAAAAGACTTCGATGACTTTGATGTTAAACATAATTAAAGTCGTAACACACATACACGTATGAAACAAATTATATGTACAGCTTCGAGGAGTTTTCTCTCTCATGTTCGAACCATCAAGTATATCGCGATCAAGTTTACTATCATACTTTCGAATATGATAGCGGATATAATGACGATAAGAGAAAAGTGCGGGCAACAATTAGAGCGGAATGCAGTGAGCGATAGTGCATGCAATGAGCGATTAAAAAAAAATGTGATCAGTTTTCTCTATACACGCGCGAAAGACCAGTATGGAGCGAAAGTCCTACATCTTTGACAGCCCGCTTATATGAAATTGTCATGTCGCGTGCAATCACGTGACAACGATTATTAATTGGTGCAATATTAATTTAGCAGACTCATGCAAAGTTCTCTTGCGTCTCAATATATCGCTGTAACTTAATGAACTAAACGTTGACGTCGATCCTTGATATTGATGTTAGAATAAAAATAACTTCTTGTGGAGGGATCGTTACGATATATAACTTTACGTCGAAGTGTTGGAACAGGCGGCACTTCCGACGTCACTTTTTGTTGTCTTTTGCCGAAGAAATCGTGCAGAAAAACGCTTAGTGTTTTTCAAAGCAGGCTTTTACAAAAATACGCAAACAGGTCCTTCTCACGGATAACTGATCCGCAATAGAAACGGGTCCAAAATGCCGCTCCACTTTTGGTCGCAGTATACACACAGTAACCGGGTTTAAAAAAGAAAGAAATTTCGCACCGATAAGATAACACACATGCGAGATACGATCATTACTCGGTGGCGATTTTATCTGCATTACCGCCGTTTTACCGCGATTCTTAGAATTGTTTTCTCATGCGCGCAAAGAACCGTTCAGATTTCCGCGGTGCGCAGAATAATCATCCTCCTCGCGTTGGAATTTGTCATCCATATAACGATGTTCGGATATCTCGTAAAAAACGTTAAAAAATGTTAAATTACGATTTTTGTATAGAATAAAATATTTTTTTGAAAAATACGCAAAGTTTGTTCACTCTCGTTCTTCTGCTATCTCGAAAAACACATACAGAAGTGAGTCACAATCATAAAGTGTGTTATCGGCGCTTTCGGAGATTTTATAGTTTTTACGTTTTTTATTTATTTTTATTTTAAAAAATTAATTGTTACGTTACTTTTTTTAATGACACACACCAGCCCTATCTCTCGATAATTAAGTTAATAACTTAACTGCGCTTGTTGCACTTGGCTGTCATATGTTATTCATCAATACATACGCGATATTATATACAAGACTTAAAAAAGGTGCTTTTTCTTTATAAGAATTTTTTTATTGTTTCAAAAGTGTTGAATTATCAAAATTTTCTGGTAGACATAATCGCGTGAAGAGATTTTTGCGAAAACGAAACATCTCGCTTTTACGAGATCGAGTATAGAAGGATCACACGCGTATACGTCGGGAGAAGCTGACGATAAGAATAAGCCAGCGCGTGATAAGGAATGACGTAATCATCCGACAGGACGTTCATATTCACGTAAAACCGGAATTTTGCGGTCGGTTGGCCGGTAGCAAGTATTCATTAACGTCGGCAATAATACAATAGCTGTTCCCTTAGATAATATTTCTTGTGTTTGTCACAAAAGAGTAGACATTTATGAGTTACGTCGTCCGCCTAATACGTAGCTTTCCGTTTTTTTTCTGCGGAAAATCGAATTGTAAGGAAAAACATTCTAAAAATTATCTTGAAATTATGGTCTTTGTCGTGTACAGTAAAGCGCAAGAATGATGATTTGCGCTCAAAATTGTTTTAATATTTATGCATACATTTGTTCTGTAAATAATTTAATTATTATTGCGCTATACATTATACATAAAGAATGAAAAGAATCCGGTGACTCATTCTGTAAACTAAACTATATTTTGCGAGCGCAGACGAAAATTATCAGCGCACTTTTTGAAGTCAAATGTGTATCGCATTGTTTTTTGTAGGAAATATTTTTTCTAGTTTTTATCAGACTAGAGAGAAAAAGAATATCTTGATAGTAAAGATATATACTTCAAAACTAGACTTGAACTTTGTCGTCATTTTTATAAAAAAAACACGCATGCCGACGCGATCGATCCAAGTGTTCATTGTCCCGTTATCGTTATCACGTAGTCATGACGACGAAGGGGGACTTGCCGGTGCGCGACACGACGTTCCCTTTCACGAGCAAGCCGGATATCGTTAAACGCTATCGGTGACAACCTTTACCGTCGCCGATCATTGTATGACAACGATCGTGTCACAAGGGAGAACAAAGGGTAAATTCTCGAATAATTTTCTTTGTTATTATTTCGAGAAACTTCACGCGTTTATCAGTTCTATATAAAGTCTTGTGAAAGTAAAAACGACTTTCTTTAGGAAAATTTAATGTTATAATTGTAAAAAATGAGTCAAAATCTCAGCTGACTCGAATAGCGAGACGAATCTCTCGTTTTATCTGGGAAAAGATACGTTTCGTTCACGTTTACATTATGTACCGCGGTCTCATCGGTGGTCCTACCTGTTTCCATCTAGGCACGATGGACCGATCGTATATGTACGAACGCACATACACACGCGCACCTGTGTGAGATGAACTCGCATCTCTCTCTTTCTTCCCTTCCTCTTTTGTATCTGCTTATTTTACTTTCTTCCTTCTGCCCGCTGTCGACTTGGCCCAGGGCTGGAGTCCGCGTCGACGTTTCATTCCTAATCTTAATCTTTGTCGCTTAATTAGATTCACATCGCGAAAAAATGCAATCGGGATTATTTCGTGAATGAGTAGTATAAGAAAGAATTTTTTGTACATACAAACTAAAACTGTTTTTTCTAACTTATATAGTTAATTATTGTATAACTCACTTATTTGCTCTTTTTAACACACATTTCTTTTTAATATATTCTAGACTTGTCAAATTGCTCATAAAAGTTTTTTCTTTTAACGCGTTCCATAACATGTCTTGTGAAATATGATTCAAGATATTTTCAAAAATAAAAAAAATAAAAAAAAAAACAACTTATGAAAGAAAAGTATTCGAGAATTAAAAAAAATCCATCAACACAATCTGCTAAATAATGACAGATATGATAGCTAAGGCACGTTTGAAGAATTCTGGCTTTGAAATTCCGAGCCTGAGCGAGCAACACTCTCTCCCTTCCATCGTTCCTCGGCAGCTCGGCAGTGAACCGAGTGTTCACCGACCAGTCGAAGTCAGCTTCACAGTCTGTCTTGTTCGTGTTCCTTTGCACTTCGTTAACATAGTGTTCCGAATGCCATTTTTTGCGACATCCGAACACCGTCGTCGCGTCTAAGTCCGATTTCTTCTTTGCCGCGTATAACGCGTTGATTTATCCTGTCGAGATGAGACGCCTTCGTTCGAGCGGGCTCGAGACGTTCCGCTAAACTAGTTGAGATCCACCGGACCCCCGAGGGACGGCTGTGGTGGTGCTCCAGGGAAGAACCTCGAAGCGCGCGCGGTGGAATGCCGCGCGAGGTGAAATTCGGCCGCGACATTGCAGTGCGTGCCGTCAATCGAGAACTATGCAGAACTCTTTGCGAAATCTAATGCAACGCATATTTCGTCCTAGGATCGTCCTAGGATAATGTGAACGGAGAAGTGTTACGCGAAGGTAAAAAACTCTACGAGGTGATTGACTTCGCGAAGACTATACATATAAATGTCCGCTTCAAATGAATATAACACACAAAACCTAAACGATGAGTAGCGCGAAATTGTGTTTCGTTAATTCCACATATTTTTATGAACAGGATAGATGTCGATTCTCAATATAAAGCATGTATAAAGGAGAAAATAGAAAACTTATTTGCAATAGATGAGAGAATATTGTCAAAACGACCATTTCTGAGATTATTTTATCTCATTGTCTTTAAATCTCGACGAAATTCGGATTCGAATTCAACACATAAGAATCTTCAAAAAATTGTCTCTTTTCATTCGTTTGCGACGAATCTGTCTCTCTCGATGAAGTTGGATGTAGTGTTGACAGTCGGAAACTGTTGGAGAATAACGACACCTGGCTGTTCTTTGTACGTTCCGCAGTCGCGCACACGTTTGAGCGAGAGGGAATGTATGTGCGGTGCCGGTCGCGAACAAAACAATACCGAGTGTGTTGCGTTGATCGCGCGTGCAGCTGTTGCAGTCCGCGCGCAAATGCAGTCGGTATATGCAACGTGTCGGAGAGAAAGTACGTTCTCCATTCATCAGACCGCGGAACGCGACGACACGGAAGCGCGACGTCACCGGGTGAACCGCTTCGTCCATAAGGCGTCGTAGACGCAACTGTTTTCGCATATTTTCTTTTATCAAATTCTTCTTCGTTTATACGTTTACGACTCTCGAACGATTGTGAAGTCGAAGGATGCCGTACGAAACGAGTTCAGTTCCAAAGTCGATCAGCGGTCGAGATCAAGGCGAGATTTCGTGGCGAGCGCACAAAGGCGGATAACTGTACCGATCCCCGATGTGTCTCGAGCTGAATCGCTTGACCTCCAATTGCGCGCCTCCAAGCGTGGACCGAAAAACCGTTGTTTGAGGAAAAGAGAAAGTTTCGCAACACACTTTTTTCGTGTGGGTATACCTATCTGCTCGTGAATTCGTCAATCCAATCGATCGATCGTGGGTGTTGAGTCGAAGGAAGAAATCGTCTTCTTTTACCGGTTGTATAACAATGAAAAAATATGGAACTAATATATACGTACGTACGTGCTGTATCATACTTGTCTTCCTATAGGGAATGTGCCGCGGCACATCCGCTCTTCCTGTCCGTGATGCTTGTCAAGGTGTTCTTGCGCCACAGCGATGACTTTTCACGGTCATTATCGCAGCTTACATCACTGCCGCGCAGGAGATTGTTGACCGACATCGAGTGATTTTCTTTGTAGATATAACGAAACTTGACGAAAAGATCTAATTTTTTTCGAGACTAAATCTTCAGTTTTCGTAAAGAATTATTCAAAGCTCGTCATTTGTAGAAAATTGAAAATTTTTTTAACTTCTCGAAATATTTTATAAATTTAGCAAAACTCTGGTTAACCTAAGCAATTTTATTTAATATAAAAAATTGAAAATTTGTGTAGAATTTCTACTATATTATTATCACTATTATTACTACTATCAAACCAATTTTTGTTAGCTATTCCATACTGAGGAGAGAGAGAGAGAGAAAGGTCAACAGAATTGTTTTTAATAACATGACTATTTTTTTTGTTTTTTATGTCTGCTTGTTTTTCTTTGTATTTTACACACTTTTTTTGTATTTTTACACGTAACAATTTGTCTCGTGAGATCTTAGCACCATTCGTTTTTTTTGAAAGCCAGGAGCGTATAATTTATGGCAAACCGCCAGCGATCTCTGACAATGAGAAACTTCCGTCCTGATGACTTCGTAACCTTGTAATCGCGGTCCGCTCCGCGCAAACTTCTTAAGAACTTCACGGAAGAATCTTTGTGCGCGCATCCGTTAACGTTCTTCTCCGGAGAGCGCAAATATTCCGAGTTCGCGTGATTGCTTCGCCTGTGTGCAACGCGCGAAAAAATTTCGCTAGGAAGAAAACTGCTGTCATCTTTTTGCCAAGACTGATAATAATTTATATATTCAATAATATATTGAATATGTTCGGGAGAAAAAAATTTCTTTGTTTAAAAAATTAATTTAAGTCACATACATTATTATGTACACAAAAGAAAAGATAGTATAAAGAATATGAAGAATAGAGAACGTCGGAGATATAAACATACTAAACTTAATTTCCTTGAGCTATTTTTGAACGTTTTATATATGTATTCTTTTGGCTCTTCAAAATCTCTCATACAATTCAGTTGCTTAAAAATCGTTTGTGCGTTTGCTCGTTTATTGAGGAGTAATGGTCTTGTTCCTCGTGATTAGCAATGTGATTAGCATCTCGCGATTCAATTAGCCGCACGGCTTGCGCGACTCTATTGATTCAAAGATTCGCCGAACGTCGAGTCATTCTAAACTGTCCTGGTAAATTCCAGTCGATACAATTCCAGTCGTTGCTATGTGATCCAGGAAAACTGGAAAGACACGCGCAACACGGAGCATCCAACCGCGAATAAACCACATATGCTTGCACTTTAGCCGCATCGCCGTTAGATCGCTCGCCGACTTAAGAACGGCGTTAAATCGACTAGCGGATAAAATCGCTTTGCGGTTTCCTTTTCTAGACTGCAACTTTGTTAATCGCACACACACGGAATTAGAAATCTGATGCCGTTCCAGGAGGAAATTTAAAAATAACTGATGCTGTCCAAATAAAAGCGCAGGATCATTAGATATGAGTCATAATATAAATGTTCCTACTTCGCTTTTAGGTATTCAGCACGTTAAGTCGATAAGTGTTTGCCTAACAATGGATTTCATAGTCGCTATCGTCCTATCGCGCGAACTGTATGACTTACCGGTTCCTCAGGTCAGGTCCTTCCGGTCCTGTGTAGAGGCCGGTCTGGTTTCGTCCCCTCTTGCCATCATCCGAACGCACGCAGACGTTTCTCTTTCACAAGTCAGCTCGGCCGAGAAACTCTTCTTCTTTCATGTGTATGAGAAGCAAGGCCGAAACATTGTTCCTCGATTTTGTGCAGACGTTGACGGCATTCATGTGCATGCAAGATGAATATCTCGTCTCGATCCGCATTGTGTGAATACGAGTCATGTATTTCGTGAGCGCGACATTTATAGAAATTTGAAAACAAAAACAAATACTGCTGAAAACAATCTCGCGACAAATGTCGCTTTTATGTAAATAAATTACTTAATTGTTCAAAATAATTCAATATTACTTGAAAAATATATAGAGAAAGAAAACAAGTATATTTGTCTAACATATCTTCGCGATTGATTACAAATTGAACGGTTAAAATTCGTTTGTGATCTCTTCTGAGTTGAATAATGTAAATGTAATGACTTGGTGGAAAATTCGTGTTTTTAAGATGGAAACCGAGGTCCGAACGCTCAAGCAAGAATTAGCGCGCACCCGGGACGATTTGAAGGCCGCGACGAAAAGATGTCGGGAACTGATGAAAGAGCTAGACCATCGTACAGCCGGCCACGAATCCGAAAGGATTCTGCGAGATCAACAGCTCTCGAAGATATTACGGGCATTATTGTTCCTAGAAGCGCGCCTCAAGCAAGAGCAGAAGTCAATCAGGCAGATGCTCTGCGAGAAGGACAATGTCATCAGAAACCAGCAGCTGGAGATCGCAATGCTCAGGCGGTACACTAAAAATTGTATCAAGAGCAAACGCGATCACGCGACACTGCCTGCGAATGTCCTGGTTAACACTGATATCAACAAAAATCCGCACAATTCGGAAAATTCACAGGTAATTTGAGAAAATGTTTTCATGGATAATTAGCGTATATAAATCTAGTCGCGTGAGACAATCTGTAACTTTTACATATGAATAATAAGGAATTATATTTTTATACAAGAATTGTACATTGATAAGTAATACGAATGTATACATTGTATACATGTAATATGAAGAGGACAAATTTATAAGAATAAATTTTCTCTGAAAAATCTATGCTCTTATTTTTTAAATATTTTAGAAAGTCCGTTTTTTTTTTTTTTTTTTTTTGAATTACTAAATTATTTATCATTATTTATCATTACTAACAGGGGCAAGCGATGCAAATGAGCGGCATCGGCAAAAATATTGCAAGCCTCAAGTGCGAAATAATCACGCGACTGAATCCATCATCGTGCATTCTAGACGAGCTGGGTCACAATAGCGTGAAGAAGACGCACAGTTTTGCAGGCAGCGATATCTCTAAGGCCAGTTTGACCAGCAGCGAGAACACAGACGCGTCTATTATCACCACAACAACAGAAGGAAGTCCGTCGTTGCTGAGCACAGAGGGTTTTTGCGAGGGCGAAAGCACGGATGTGTCGCCTGGTTCCACCTTGAACAAGTGCTCGAGCAGATGCACACCGACGACAATAACCGACAGCGAGAACGAGACGACGATGATTCAAGGCGAGGACGAGGAAGACGTGATAGAGGAGAACGAAATGATGACGTCGACGATAATGACGACGAAAAGAAGAACGTCCCTTCGCAGGACGAAGGGTTTGAAAACATCGTCTAAATGTGCTGAGATAAACGAAGTGGTCAATATCGCAAGAACGGACAGCAAAGACGACGGAATGGACTGTAACTTCACCTCGGAGAATGAGGAGCAAGATACAGGGATAAATAATCAACAAGAAAATGGAGAAGAACCGATCTATGTTAACGCCTGTAACGAGACAAACGAGAAGAATCAACAGCAGACGGAAATTTTGAAAACAAAGAATGATTACGGCAATAATAATATGTACGTTGGTTATTTTTTCATAAAACTTTTAATAAAATATATTTAATATTGCCTCTCTCTATCTCTTTCTCCTTTTATATTTTCTAAAAACAAATCTTTCAATTTTTTGTAGCGAGACGAAGATCGAGACGTCAGAAATGACTACAGAGGATACCAGTGGCAACTGGTACAGCGATCCCGACGAGGATCGTCTAAACGAAGACGTGTTCCGACATAGCACTTATCGGCCAAACAGCAATCACAACTCTGTGTTGGAGTGTGTGAATCAGATTCTGCTGCAGGATATGGAGGAGGAAGAGAACTCGATTTTGCCGGTGTCACGACGATTTAAACACCGCGGCAGAATCGTGCGTTTCCAGCCAGCTAGATTGTCCGACATCGAATCGGTAGGATCAGAGATGGAAAGAAGAAACTCCGAGGAATTCACGACGGACAACAAGGATTCGCCGAAAGAGGAGGAGACCGCGGAAAACGAGGCGAGCACGTCTGAAGACGAGTTTGGTATGAAGATTGTTCAGAAAGATCCGGACGACGATTCCAAAGATTCAAAAGCGATTCCACTGGTTATCATAGAACCTAAAGTCGACGTCGAGGAGACTAGAAAGATCCTGACAAAATCCCAAGCAAGCAATCCACCGTTAAAAATGGAAAGGATCGAGGAGAAGACGTGTCTGCAGATGTCCGCAAGGGGCTTGACCATCGCCAAAAATTTGGACTACGAGGATATAGAATCGCTACCGGAGATAACGACGACATCGCCAACTCCACCGAGAACACCGCCGGCGTTGCCGCCAAAACCGCAATTCCGCAACAACACTTTGATTCTAAAAAAGATTCCCAGTCCGTCGTTCTTGATCGATGAGAAACGGCAACAGGATCCAAATAACGCGGTTCCCGCAAGAAGAAGTATTCTCGGACTGATGTCATCCTCATCGTCAAAAACATCGAGAAATCTAAATCTGGAGGAGGTAAAGAACTCGAACAAAAGTTCAGCGAGAAGTTCGGCAAGAGAGGCGAAAGGTCGCGAAGAGGGTGGGTTCTGGAAAAACAGGTTCAACCACGTGCGCTCGTCCTTCCAAATAAGGCAGAGAGAGTCGGACCAGGCGAAAGACGCAGCTAGAGTGACGAACATCGTTCGGCATTTTGAGGAGTTCAAGATAGGAGAGGAGCAAATAAAAGAGACGAAACGCCCACGAGAGCGCCACGCCGAACTCGAGCATGTAAGATTTTTTTACAGTATATATACCATTATATATATATATATGTACATGTATATACATGTAGGATATTTAAAAAACACACTCTTAATGATAAACATTATTACTCAAATGCAATTCTGAAAAGGCGCGCACGATTGTTTTTCTTCCAGGACCTCGACATCCGGCAAAATTTTGAGGAGTTCAATCTGGATGAGTGCGACTTATCGGACGACCCCGATCGAGCAGAGGGCGACGGTTCCGAAAGATTGGGCCATGTCGGGATCAACTATGTCAGGCAGAGTGAGGACAGCATCGCCAAAAATAACAACAACGTGCCTGCTATCAGCAACGGCAACGATAACGGCAACAGCGAAAGCGAAACTGGAAACAGCGGCTACGATCATTTCCTCGAAGCGACCGGCCTCAGCAACAAGTCGATTCTCACGCCTTCGAGATTACTAAGCAACCACAAGAGCATGCTGAAGCCAAAAGACGTCAAGTACAAGAGTAGAATCAAAGCCACGGCGGTACTAGAGAGGCACGGGGTACAGGCAACTCCGACTTGCAGCACCACAACGACACATGTCAGACATTGGACCGGACCATTTGTCTGACGACTGGCTAACGTCTTACCTGGGAGCAAAAATATCTTTCGTCCCGTTGTGTCGGCCGACAGTTCGCCGATAAAGACCAAGTTTCGAAGATTTTCTCCCTCAAAATGATTGATTAAAATACTTTTTATAAATCACCGTATTCATATACGAGTGATTCTTGCCTCAAGAATGCAAATGGAATTTTATACAGTATTGAATCGAGAAACAGGAAATCGTGTCTATGAAAACCATCCATGACGAGGAAGAGTGACTTCCTGTGTTTCCTGTCTTAGTAAATTACACACTATTTACGTTTCCTTCTCCTTCTGTAACATACACATAAATACGAGAAAGTTACGTGTTGTTTTTATATGTCTGTGAGAAAAAAGATAAATGTTAAATATTGTTAAAAAATCACGAAGTGATTTTACTCACTGTCAGTAATTAATTCATGTTACTCTTATTAGATGAAATGTTTATAACAAGGTAATTTAACTATACCTGTGCTGTTGAAATTATTTATAAATCCTTGTATACGGTATCTGTAAAAAAATTGACTTGTTCTTTTTTTAATACATATTTTTGGTACAAAATTTTTATGTATAAAGCGATATCAGAATAAAAGTCGTTATCTTCATTACCTCATACTGTTTGTTTTTTAATGCGTTATGATGAGTTCTCACTCTCTCACGCGTTATCTTCATTTAAAAAGAAAAACTATTCTTAATATATACAAGTTTCTGACCCTTAAATTATATTCGCGTACACACATATATACACACGTACAAAATAAAAAAAATCTTATATAAGATATTAATATAAATATTGATTTAAATATCGAGGAACATATAGAGCAGTGAGAAATCTTGAGTATTTGAAATCTACATATCTTTTCAAGAACATAAAAAAAGATGACATACATTTTCTTTCAATATAAATACGAGAACATAAAAACAATATTGTAATAATACTTTATTGTGCATAAAACAGCAAACTTCAATAGGAAATTATTAACGATAAAACATCCGAATCTGATATTCGATGTTTTAACATCTTCGAATGATAAAAAAACCGAATATTTCCATAAAAAAATAATATTCATGTTACATGTCAAAAATGATAAAGAGGAAAACTAAAATTAAATGGTTTTCTAGATACACTCAATAATCACACTGATAATCTCACATATAATTTATCTAGATAAAAATTGGCATCGTATCTAACGCTACATACATATATTATGGCAGGGACGCAATATGATAGGAAAATTACGATTGTACGTGATCGGTACGTTAGCAGCGTAAAACATGCGACATTAAAAAGCGCGACAAATCTCGAGAAATATATGATATAATACGTATTGTATATCTATATATTTTTTACATATGTGTGTGTGCGTGTGTGTGTAACTTCTATCATCTATAAAAAAATAACGCGAGTCTATAAAAATACGCTATTATCGGTATCAAAATTTGGGTCGTGGAAGGAGAAACTCATATCAAATAAATTTTTATCTTATTCCTTTTTACAGTATACAATCCCCATTTTAAGCGTTGTGTGAATTTCATTTTCTCGCAAGTTAGTATAAATCACTCGTTCAGGCACTCCATTTATGCTTGATGACTAATCGATTATATCGAATATGAAAAGATATATTAGTACGGCTGACAGAGAAAAAGGATTTTTTTTTTTTTGTAAACTCGTGGAGTTGGCTTTGGCACGCGATTGTGTCTTTCAAGTCTCCCTCTCTGCACGGAAGTCGTAGAAAAACTGAAATAAAGTATCGCATTGGTGATTTAACCGACATAATGACATTAAACACTCGTAGGAAAAGGCATAAACGTACTTCTTTATCCAAATCTTTCTGGGTCCACACTTTGATAACAGGAAGTTTGTCCTGTGTTGAAAAAAAAAAAGATGTTAATCGGTGATTGTTTTCTATTCTTGTACACATTGCTATACTTACACTGGCAGAATTAGAGTGATTAATGATAAGACGAGGATTAAGTGCGAACGGAACGCCATCTAGATCGGATGATCCTGGAAGTGTGCCGTAATTCGACGTTGAACCGACGATAGGTGACACGGACGTGGGCGGTTGAGGCGCGGGCCTTGTGGGCCTGATTCGGGCGCTAGGACTAAGAACTTCGTAATCTCGATCGCTAGATTCATCGAGTTTGTTAGATGCAACATTGATTTGAGGATAAATCCCGTTAATTGATGGTTTTGGCGAGAACTTTGGTTTCGGAGGCCTCTCAGGCGCTAGCCTATGAGGAGTTCCATTTGAAGGATTCGGAGAAACGCTTTGCAGTAAGCTAGATGTGTTGTAAAAATTATGTATTCACAATGTGAAATTCGCACACATTAATGTAAAGAAAAAAACTTACTCTATATTAACATATGATTGTGAATCCATGTTAGTATTTGTGATATCTACGGTTTTATAACACACACGAACACCATTTATAATGCTGAAAAGAGAAATGTAAAATCTATCATAAATAAAGTATCAAAGTTTTACTTGTGGATATGAATATATTAAATAGTACAAAATTTTTAATACAAAGTAGTGAAAGTAAAAAGAGCTTGTATTAAATTTGAAACATTAAAAAATACTTACCCAGCAGCAGAAAATCCTATAGGAGCCAAATTGGAGTCCTTGTTGATCATTCTGCTGCATATTATAATATCAGTAACCGCTTTTGCACAAGAGTCCTTACTACTAAGTTTATAGCACACTTGTTTTTTGCGCCAGGCCTTTTGCCCTATAAATGATTAGAAATATATATTTATAAATATAATAACGGTAACTTTATTCACTAGTAATAGTGAAAATATATTAGTAAGCAAACAAAAAACTTACTGGAATCTACAGTATAGGAGATCATGTTATATCTCTCTGGTGGAACTTCTCGTTCATTAATTACCAGAATATCTTCTACTACACAATTGGGCTGACCTTCAGTCTTTGAGAAACAGATATATCTACCCTTTTTTTTAATAAATAATCCAGTTTCTCTCCACAAATCTGCATCTGTGTCTTGATCGTAGGTTCTTGAAACCTATAAATACATTTATTAATACTATTTGCAAAACAATTCTTATTTGTTCTATAAATGTATTAATGTTATACCACTGTAAAATTTGGTGGACATTTATCTATATCTTCCACAACACTAATGGCAGTTATGGGTCTGTCATCTGGCAGCACAGCTGATACTTGATGAACCAACATTTTACAATTGGTTTTTCTGGACATTTCTGAGATTTTGGAGATAGCTGTCAATCCATTTTTAATTAATGCACAAAATTTCTCATAATGCTAAAAAACTAAAATTTACTAAACACAATTTACAAATATGTACAATTAAAATTTTTTCATAATTTCTCTATTTATATGTGTATACACATTCAGTGAAGTTTTCATTTTTAACATTTTTTATAAGACCGTATGAACTTGCAACATTATTATGACAACAACATTACTGCTGGCACAAAGAACTTATCAATAGAGTTTCACAAAATAAAAAATACAAAACACAAAAATAAACGAATGTTCAATTTTCAGCGCTTACATATACGTATATTAAGTATAGAAATTTACGAAAGACATAAAGATTAATATCAGAACCCAAGAATCAATGTGAAAGATACGTTGTATATAAGGTGGAATAATGGATACTAAGCAACGTGGTAACAAAAATATTAAAACACACTACAATATCGAAAAAACATCGAAGAACACGAAAGAAGCTCCACAGGGAGCCGGCACCGTTACCCCGTAAGGGCGTGCTCAAAAAAAAGACTAAGGGTCAATAGAAAGATCGAGGTATGTATTGGATTCTCGAAGTCTTTAAACATATATTTCTTCCTCTCCTCTACATATACATTTATATTGGACGTGTCATCAGTTTAAAAATGACATCGGACAACTTTCGGGATATGCAACAAAGACTGACCTTTTGACGATGTTGCGCACCGTTATCTCGTACTACCTCGTTTTATATTTCTCACACGATCGCACACTCCGCACTGACGCAACAACGAAGATACAACGCAAGAGCGTGGTTTATATCACCGACGCTCATTTTCGGAGTCAACAACGACGTAATGACGTCAAACGACAATAACATCTACTACCCGTCACTCGACCGAGAACTCCGCGAAACTGTCCGAAAACACACCGAGTTTTGCCGAAATAATCACAAACAGGGCGGCGGATCAGGGCCAACAAACTCAAGAATCATCAAGTTCCATACTTTAAGGCTCCGTCACAGTGGCGCTTGTGTCGCTAGTAAAAAGAAACAAATTTTCTAAAGTGGCAGAAAAATGAGACATAATAAGAAGTGAGACAAATTACACAATGAAGAAAAAGACAGATGGAATAAGTTAAACATGTGCCGTTTGCACTAAAGATGAGATTAATGATACAATGAATAAGCCGCAAGAATGATTAATATACTCTTTTTGCAAGAGTATATATATTTATTGTTTTTTCCAAAATTATTATGTTGTTTATCAACAATGTTGAAAGCGCAGAATTATCAAGGATATGTACAAAAATCTGTAATCAAATGCACTACTTTACATTCAAATTTAATACAATTAGGATAGTTTATCGTAGAGAATACTGTATAAAAGCTTACAAAAATAGTAGTTTTAATGATGTATTATATAGTATCGCAATTTAATAGATAAAAATCCACATCTTTTTAATATTCATTACAAAACATCATGGTAACTTATTTTTAAAAAATGACAATATATATTAATTAAATATATAACATATACATTACATAACGAATACATAAAACTAACCGTAGAAATACAAAAGAATACTTTTTTTAAACTTTTATGAAAGAGAAGACAACATATAAATTTCCATACATGATATACAAGATATAAATTTTTCATAACATCCATACAAATGATGGATTTATATAGATAGAAACATCTGTTCAACATGCTTTCTTACATATATATAAAAGTTATTGTTATTATAAACACAAATGTTTTAAATACCACGAGGAATATCGCAGTGTTCTTCTTTTTCTATAGGAATTGTAACATCTGTTTTAAAGACATATGTCATTACTGCCGCAATAAAGATTGTCAATATCATGTAAATAACAAGCATGTATTTCACAGTAGAAACCTCACTATGTACCTTGACATAACTTTCCTCTAAGTGATTTATCTAGAATAAGATATAAAAATATTATACACACATATACACGCGTATATATGTACGCATGTTGCATCTTGTCACACATACTTTAGAAAAAAGTGCATCAATATTACGATCATTTCCTGAAGTTAACATAGAGTGGGATTTTTGTGTCTCGTTACTTTCATTGTTACCGTCACAACATCGTAGTCTGTGCATTTCTGTTGCTTTTCCAGACTATAAAAAAAGAGCATATTCTATTAATACTCTAACTGTGGTTTTGTACTTGGAAATAATTATAAACGTTTTAAGATTTAGATATTTTTTATCTACATAAAAAATTAAACTATTAAATCAGTCTTTTTCTTTTTAACACACCTTCCAGAGTACAGTTAATTCTTGTGGTGTAGCATTGTCATTTTTTAAAGGAAGGCACATTACTAGGAATCGATCATTGTGCAATAAACCACGCACATTGTAACCAGGTTGTAATATAACTGTAATACTTCTCTGTTTGGATGGTTGCAAAACTCCAGAACTTGGTCGTACTCTGAATTTCTCAGGAGAAGTTGTCTTTATCTACAAATAATATTAAAACGTTATACATGTATATATGTGCAATATAAATATGTATACACATTTATGCACCTTAAAAGATAAAGATTTTTCAGTTGTAATATTTTTCAGTGCAATTGTCCCAACAATGTCATTTCCATCCTTGTTAAATGTAATCACTTCTGCAGGATCTATTGCTAACACTAGAAACATTCTATTTATTTAATGCTGCACAGTTCTACTTTTTAGATTATGTTCAATATTAAATGCAATAAATTTTTACAAATAATAATGTTTGTATAATATAAATAAATTACTGAACGTACATTGTTCTTCATTAGTCTGATCTCCAAAACTAGTTGGGCTCTGTTCTGTAAACGGTGAGGTTTCTGCAAAATGCACCTAGAAAACATATAACAAATGTGTTATTTTATTAAATAAATTTTAGGAAATAAATTGAAATTACTAACAAATTTCCTAATGAAACAAAAGAGAGATGATAAAGAAATTATAGTACTACTAATATAAATTTCAAGTTTTAATACGAACTTTAATAAAATAATTACGTATATATACCTTCTTGTTATCAAATTTGCCATTTAACGTATCATCTCCATTTGTTTGTGCCATTGGAACAAATTTGAAGACATAATCGTTGTTACCTCCCCAACATTTAAGTGCATCATTTGGGTCAACATATTCTTTCACTGTCGATTTATTAACAAACTTAATCTTTGGAATAGCTTTAGCAGGTAACCACGATTTTATTATTTTAAACGCTGCATTCAACACCCATGGCATATCGAAAATTATAATGTAATTTAAGAAATTTGGATAATATGATTTAAATAAACCAATGAGGTATTTAGTAAACTCCATATCCAAATTCGAAAGTCCGGTCTCTGCCATGTCAAAGAATATTGATATTTGATTTCCATTTCCTTCTCTAAAGAGAATTGTAAAGAAAAACACATTAATTAGAAGGTAAAAAACATATTAAAAACAAACATTATAATGTCGACATCAGACAAATAATGATAATATTAATCATCTCAAGTGAATGCTTGATTTAAATATTTCAATAAATTCTATTTTGATCTTAAATAAAAAATCACTTCAAAGTGTAATTGAAAAATGCTTATTCACTGAGTTTTTCTGTAAACTGCAAGATTGCATAAAACGATATTTATACAAGTTCAACAAGAATTTTTGACCATTCACACAAAGCAAAGTCTTGATAATTATAAGGTCCAAAGTATATATGTAATTGTATAACTTACATTTTAAATATTATTTTAAATATCTACTCAGGATGAATAATGTCAACATTATTTAGCTAATATTGACAGTAAGAATTTAATCATTTTGATGTGTGTGTATACATATGTATATACATGTATAAAAGAATGACTAAACAATATCTTATGTCTCACTAAATATTGTATTATACATTTAATCCATAAGATAACAAAGTTTGTCATCTTTTAAACATGTATCTTTTATATGTGTATTTTTACATAAAATTAAAATATTTAAAACTACCTTTCTAATCTCTCAAACCAATAAACTATACATCTCTGAAGCTCTGAAAAATCTTTTGCTGCCTTGAAATGTAATTTTGACTTAATTATAAGCAGTTTCTTGCCATCTTTATCTTTACCATGACTAAAACATATCCCTTCTTCTAAATAATCTCTCCTTATATTGTCTTCAGAAATATCTATAAGATGAGATTAAAATATAAAATATAAAAGAAAAATAAAGAAACACACTTGTATAAATTTTAATTATTCTATTTATATTCTATATATATTTAAACTCTGTACACATATATATATACATATAAATTATTATATAACAATAAAAAAATCAACAGAACTTTACCATTTGTTCCAAACTTTCTCCTCCAACTGCAAACTTCCCAAAGCATATTGAATGCTTCCTGCTCATCGAATTCATAATGTTCCAAGAATCGCTTCAACCAGTCATCATTATTTTTTATCCTAGCTATATCAGCAGGATGAAAACCTCCTGCAACCAACATTTATTAATCAGAACACACAGTGACATGTAAGAAAATCTGCTATTCTTGTTTTAGTTTTGCATTTTGCACTTTTCTCAAAATAATTAACGCAAGCAAACATTTCTGCAACTATCTGCATATAATTCTTTCTTTTGACTGTAGAATCAATTGTTTTTGATTAAATACGCGATCAAATGTGACCTTTGCACATGTCACATGAGCTCCTCTTTTGACATGTGTATAGTATGACACAACTGATACGCGTTAGAACAGTGGAAATCGCTGAATCGATGTTGTAGAAATGATTGAATGTGTATGATGAGATCCATATGTACACACTGGGATCGGGCGGTCCCTCGTCGTCCAGCTTCTTCAGAAATTTCTCGCGAAGTTCTGCGATCGCCTTCGCGTGCGTCTCCATCCTTTTCTGTGTCCAACCAGCGATCGGGAGAATGACACTTTGACCGGCGCCGAGAACTTACCCAGATGATTCTTGTTTACAGGGGGGACAAACTCACTCTTGGAAAAAGTGGGGACAGTTTTCAGCGCCGTCTACGGCGAGGACCACATTCTTTGCGAACTAAAAAAAGTAGCGAGGGTACCGGCGCCGCGTTTAAATCGCTCGCACGTAGGTAAAATGAATTATAAGTTTCTGAGCGTGAATATTTTTGGACAATTGTCGGTGTTTTACACCACTTTCGTTATTATCTGCTAATTTAAACAAATATACAACTCCGTGGGTTGGCGTCAGGAACCCAGTCCACGGTTTTAAACCTATCATCAAAAAGACGTAGAATGACGTGTGGACTAGCTTTATAGGTCCACTGAGCCAAAAGAGCACCAAACCAACCTTCTCTCTGCCTATAGTAACCATGATGGTAGCGGTCCAAGTTGCGCTACAAATGCTTCATTCTACGTAAAGCTTTTGTCTTTTGACATCATGAAATCAGGTTAGGGTTAGATATCACAAGCACCAGTTATCACGGAAACGGTATCTGTTATTCCGCACAACGTGCGAATCGGTAAGATATTTATACTGAATATATTTGTTGGTATTATATGCGATGTTTGAATATAAAACTCTAAATATATTACATGCAACATTGTCACGTTCAATACATAATCAACGTACGACTTATATGCAATATTGTGTATTAATTATTTGTTTTTTCTTGTTGTAAAGAAAGGACTCGTAAAACGATATAAATATTCCAAAGTAAATATGGATGATGAAACATTGAACAGGTAATTTTATAAATATCTGTAAATGTTTTCGAATAACTGATATATTATTCTATAAAAAGCAAGCTTATATAAAAACATAGATCACTGGTAAATATTATATAGGCTTGCGGTTGAAGCTTTATTAGAAGAAGCCAAACTTGGTGCACGAAGAGCTGAAATAATGGGGCCTAGTGGATGGGTGAAACCTAAAGAAACAGTCAACAAAAGATTTCTTCACTCAACATTACGAAATGCAGTAATAGCAAACAAGCATCGAACTTCAAAACAAGAGAAAGTAAAAGTTCATACACAACCTCACAAGACAGATGTTAAAAAATCATAGATCTAAATTATATATATATATATGTGTTATTTGTGTGCTAGTGTATATTCTTGATATATATTTTTGAAAGCTTGCTTTGTTTTTCATAGGTTCATACATATAGTATATAAATATATTTACAAATATTGTTACTAAACAATTGCAATTTATTTATAATCATACATTATAAGTCAATGTTACGTGTTTTGTGTACAAAAATGAAATACAGTTTCTGTATAAAAAAGTGTATTAATAAATGGTATAAGAATTGTAATACACACAATCGTCAATATAGAGAAATACAAATTCTAGTGTTTTTAAAACTCTGAATTCTTTTCTTGCCAGTATATATCTGTACACATATGTAATTACTTACACATATATATAATTACATATATATATATATATATATATAAATTTTCGAGTTTAGATACTTTGAATCAAAATATTTTAATCTTGCAAATTATTTCTTGTAAGTTAATCTAGTAATTTGTGACCTTCATAGAAATCGTTTCTGTTTAAATTATTTGTAATAGTTGCTCTTTCTAGAGTCTAGAAATAAAGGATAAAATTTATTTGATAATTTTATAAATAATTTCTAATAAATCTTTTACAATAATTGTCAAAACTTTTATTAATAACTATTGCAAAGTATATAAAAAAGATTACACTCTGAAAGGCATAAAATATTTATATCTTTCTTCTAAAATATATATATAAGTTTCTTTTTTATCTATTTATCTTTAAACATTATATTCTCTCTGCATCTTTTAACTTAAATCTCAATAACTAATCATAATTCCACACCAATAACATTTTAAAAGCACCAATATTTAACATATAAATGGAAAGAATATATATTTTCGCTTTTCTTCTCTAAGTATAAAACACACTGTGCTTACAATTACTATTTATTTATAATAGAACTACTTTGCATTGATAAGTTGCACATATCAATATATGGCATCGTTTACATGTCTATTCGTAAGACAAAATTAAAGATGATCACATAGTATTCATAATTTTTCATCTATATATCATTAAGTAATAATCAAATTACACAAATCAAAATGTATATATAATTTCCACGTTAAGTTCTACCATAGATATTTACTTCTTTCAGAGATATTTACTTTTTTCATTACATCATATATCATAAAAGTCTCTAAAAAGTTCAGTTATTAAAATTTTATAAATTGACTTTGATTATTTTTTTTAATTAATACAAAAGTAAAAAGAAGAGTTTCAATAAGTTTACAATATATCAATAATATAATCTGGTATTATACAAAGTTATTATCAAATACTAAAATTGCAATATTGCACACGTAATAGTGATTTATAATACTTGTACTTTTGTGCACATATTTGTCGTGCAATTGTTTGCAACAATCATGCATAAGATTCTAAATTTATAAATGATTATTAAATAGAAATGTGTGTCACTTGAAAAAATGTGATATATATGTATATATGTATAGTGACTTTAAAAACAATTTTATGAAAATCTTTATTACGCAGTACTGTTTGTATTATATATAGAACTTTATGATCAGATATTTGAACTTGATAGTAATGTGTATGAAAATTTCAAAAACTTTCTGAATTAAATTATATCTATGTTACATGTTATAAAAACCCTCCATATGTCAAAAGAAACTTATTTTACGTTATAAATTCCAGTATAATCGTGTAAAGTTTGCACTAGAACACCCGTGTTTGCGCATGTAAAAATAAGTTACGTAGATCCATTTTGATAAATTTTCTTTCTTTGTTGTAACAAATCTCTCATATCTCCAAGTGCCGTCTCTATGTTTTTCGCAAATCTAGCAGAGTCCTATAAATATTCAAATTATTTTATCTTATACTTACACACGCGCGCGCAATTATTTTTGCAACAAAAACAAATATATATATCTGTACGTTATAAATATAAAATAAGCAGAAAAAAGGAAGAAAAAATGTTACCGTTCTTGACGAAGATCGTTTACTAGAAACGTGGAAAAATATAATATTTTCTCCGGCGATTATATATGAAACGCCGTATCCATCATCAGCAACTGGCCCAAATCCACCACCTACTGAAATACAGTTTGGATATTTTTTCAAATCTAATTTTGAAGTTTGGCCGTGCGGAGTTTGCGATGTCGATAATCTCCACGGTTCGCTTAGAACTTCCTACAATAAAAAACATCGTAAAATATTTATCATAATTATTGTATAAAATGATTGCAAAGATTACTTACCTTCAAAAACGGCGAATCGACTTCTAAGTACTTTGACACTACATATAAGCAGAATAGATGCCTGTCGATTCCTTTGCCACACATAGCATCTTGATAACCTTTTTGATGTCGTGCCACCGCATCCATCAGCAGATTTATTTTTTTCTCTACCTACAGAAGAAAAAATTAAATAATAAAAAAAAATCTTTTCAATTTAACAAATATAATCAAAAAAGAAAAAGATAAAAAAATTCTATCACTGATTATTTCATGATTACCGTTATTGTTTCGTCCTCCATTGATTTGACCCATTTCGTAGATTCGATGGTGCAAGGCCTGACTGTTTCTGTCCTACCTTCACGGAATAATCTCGTCATGGAAGCTTCATAAGTTAAATTAAATCTTCCGGCATCGCGGTAATACGCCAATTGCAATGCCATTTGTATGTAAGCATCTGGTGATATGAAGTTAGCTTTCATCAGGCCTTTACCATAAGCATCGTGCACATAAATACGCAAATCAACGTCATTTAATATACCGTGTGCTACCTATTAAATAACAGAGAAAGTTTTGTAATCACGATAAAAGTGTTAAATATATTGTGCTTAAATATAATATAGCATAAAAACTATAATTGTTACCCGATACGATCGCTCAATGGCTTCGATACATCGAGTATCCATATCAAACTGCAATCGAGTCGGAGCTGGAGGTGTAAATTCCGGAGTACCCGTAGTATGTCCATCTTTATATCTAGATAGATACAGATTATTCATTTTATAACAAGTCAGATAATGAAATATAATTAAATTAGATTATATATTAGATATACAGAAAAAAGCTAATTATGCAAAAGCTAAAGGTATTCAGAAAGTATATAATCATCAGATTAAATTAAATTTCATTTTAGAAGTAGTCTGCTTTTTTCTTCTCTTCTCTAATTCTCTTTTATTACTTACTTCACTTCAAAAAAAATTAAAAAAAAAATGTTTACAAAATTGTGTTTATTATTACATAAGTACGGGTGGATAAAATAAAAGATGTATTAGCGATATTTTTGACAGAAAAGTACAAAAGCATCATTACGACAAATATCTTCAATATGACAGATTAAAGAGAAAGAAAGAAAAAGAAAAAAATGAGATTACATTTGATAACAATAAAAATTCGCTCAACAATATATAAAGATATTAAAAGTCAATGTTTTTATTCTAAACCTGATCATTCTTTACTTTCTAAATACTATTTCTAGAGTGTGCCATGCACATACAAAGCATTTTATTATTCATACACTTCTTGCAACTAGATATGCTAACTAGATACCTAACGATAACCGTATAGATATACATTCTTAAAATGCAGAAATGATCAACAAACATATAACATATGTAGCTTAGCATAGTTTCATGTGCAGCAAGATTAACACATTGACTGCCACAATGTTTCTAGCTAAACGCATCTCGCATTATATATATGTACGAGATGCCGCCGATTTTGTTCCTGCATTAGAACATACTATGAAATAATTTGCATCCCGGCGTCCAGAAAGAGATCGTCAATTACGAGATATTTCGTAATTGGCAGTCAAATATGTGTCAAATTTATAAAAAATTATTTAAATCATAGAAGTGCGAAGGGTAATAATTATAGAAATCATAACACGGCAAAATTTATATAATCGTTAGGAATAACAACAATTCGCGCAAATGATTAAATGATAATAATTTATGATTATTAATAATTTATGCCCTTTGCAACTTGAAATGTTACACGAAGACGATTACCCGTTTTCGAAATCAGCAGCAATAACAAATTCCCATAGAGTTCCCATCACCGGTGCATCAGCCCTAATAAGAATATCAAGAAGAAAAATTAAAATTAAAGTACTAGAAGAAGGAAGAATAACGGTCATCATCAGTATCCAGAGAAAGGTAATTTTCAGGAAAAAAAATAAGATATAGGAGACTGAAACATAGGTATAGCAAGAACCCCATAGATTTTTACTGACTGCTGTAAAGAGAGCTCACAGACACTAAAGATTTTGTTGAAGTCATTTGTCTATAGAAAAAGATTATACATTTTGTGTGTGTGTGTGTGTGTGTGTGTATGTGTGTGTTATTGTATGTGCGTTGCAATTCAATCTACTGTCATAGAAAAGTTTATGACATCCACCAAACAAATAACACTATACAACAGTTAATTTTCAGAGATAGAAAAAGAGATAGAAATGCAAAGTATAAGATATAAAAGCTATATAAATTATAATTCTTACTGTCCGTCCATGAACTCCGAACATACCACGTATTCCCACAAGTGCGACATGACCGCAGCGTCTGCCCTGCTCATTACTTATCATTATATATGTGATGCTATTCAATATAAACTTAAACTAACTGCGTAGTATGTGTGTATGTGACTCCTTGTTTATATGTATATTATTAAAATTATACAATTTTATTTATTCACGTAATATAAATTTGCTCTATGTTTGTCTCCATGTGAAACATATTTGTAATTATATATATGTAAATTAATTTTTTTCCTTATTTTTGTGTATACGATAATTTTTGATGATTATAAATTATTTACTTTATTATTTATGTGTAATTCAACTAAGATATACTCACCATGAATGTTCGGCATTGAAACCAATCTGTGAAAAGAAATTATTTTTACAAACAAGATCGATATACTGATCAGTTTTTTATAATTGTGTTATAAAAATGTGTAAAACTACTTACTCTACCATTGTTTCCCACGCATAATGTAAAAGATTTATCGAACCATCGATCGTATCCTTTTCCGTGTAATAAAATCCTGCCGTAATGATCTAGTTTTTCTGGGTGTTCCTAAATAACAAAGTGTAGGATAAGAACAATTATATATTTGTTTATCTACAAATGTTTTATATAATATTCATATTCTGTTAAAAAAAATATTTAATTTTATTAATTAGACAACATACCGGATTATATTCATAAGGTATATCGTCCAACGCAACTACAAATGCGGCTTTCTCAATAATATCCAAGGAAGCTTTATTCACACCTTTTGCAAAAAATTCTTCTCTAGCCCGTGCCCAGGCGGTTCTTTCACCAGCCGTTAACGCAGCCAATTTCTCTTCTCCATCTGACGGTGTTGAAGTATCGTTTAATATTTGTTGAAGTTGACTGTAAAACAACGTTGTTGCACATTTTGTGATATAGGAACACATGGAAATATAAAAATTATAACAACTTACAGTTCTATTTCGCAGGCTTGAAGAATTCTGTTTCGATAATAAATTAGAACTTTAAAATATTTGCCCTTATGATATACTACGATATGTTTCGAATCTTGATAATGCACAATTTTATCAACTTCAATTCCCGGAATACGCGTGGTGTTGAATACTCTTTCATATTGCCAAGAACACAGCGGTACTATTCCTTGTACTAAAATCTAAAAATACGCATTTTTGTCGATGCAACAAAACATGTAAATAAATGAAAAGAATATATGAAATGATAAAAAGAGATCACTAACTGGTTCTAATTCTTGACGTTCAATAAGACGTCTATATTGCAAGCAAGAATATATGACGGCTGAGGCTCTTGCTGCTTGCACATCCGTGTGACGCGAAAGGATAGCGTCGATACCATAGAAATTCGAGTTAACCATGAGAGGTGATCGGCCGCGTAAATAAACATATTCTTCCCACCAATCGGATACATAATTCGTGGACCACCAAGACTTGAGTATCAAGTAACGCTGCAGCTTCACACCAATACCATTTTCGAACTCGTTGGCCAATTTCTCCATACGACTAAAATTTTCGTCGTCCAATAGCGGCCGTACACTTCTCAGATACTATTCAAATATACAACATGTTTTATCTACAATGTTAAGCAAAGAGAAACAACGAAAAGAGTAAAAATATTCTAAGATCAATGTATAACAAGTAATGATTATCTCTAATAAGGAAACGTTTTACGAGAAAAAAAGAAAACTAATAAAAACACAAAAATATTGTACTTCATAGAACATACGTGGACGAAATATTAAATTCGATTTATATAAACGTGCATGAAGATTACGAATTGTGCAATGTCTCTAATATTATTGGCTATGTTCTAACCCGTTTCATAGTATCGGATATCGATGGCAGCGGCAATCGCGGTAGTGAACCCTGAAAGCTGTACAACATGGGTCTGTGCCAACCGGAGAATACTTTCACCAGAATGACCCAGCACCGCGTTAAAAACGACACCTTGCGATTTTTGTCTCTCGACTCATACATCCATCCTTTGTACATAAGTAACAGCTTTAGCGTGTACCGAATCATGTAAATACACATCAGCCATAATAACAGCGCAACCACAAAAGAACCTGCCAGGTGTGCGAGCATGGAAGATCTGTCACAAAAAAAGACGATTATCAATTTGAACATGATTGTTAATTTGTGCCAAAACTTACCCGGATAGATAGGGTGAGACTTTTCCAACGAGATCATATGGAACTTTGTAGCCGGCAAAGTGTATCGCTGTCACCATAATCACAGTAACCCACAAACTTTCCAAAGAAGCCGGATAAACGCCGCTTTTCAGATTGTTCTGAAAAAATGATACATACGCGTGCGTATGCCATTAGATGTAGTTGTATAAATATATTGTTTTCGGAAAGAAAGTATAAATGCCATACCTGAAATCGAAAGAATCTCTTCTTCCACGATCGTACGCCGGACAGCCACACCAAGTGGAGTACTTCCCGATCGAAGTTTACGGCCCATCCTTCATGAGTTATCGAAAAGCTGAACGCTACTGCCGAATGAGCTTCCGCCATTCCGCGTTAAGAGATTTTCTATAAGAATAAAATATTTATGTTAACATTAAATTCTATTTACAAATTTTCAGCTACTAATTTCTCGCACAAAGTGTAAGAATTCGAAGATTAAAGAGTTAATCATAAGAAAATAATAACTTTCTCTTAGGTTTTGCATAAAATTACAAATAAGTATAAAACCAAGAGTTTTATAAACGAAGAGTTGTGTTAAAGTGTTACGAAAAATTACTTCAATATTGAATCGAAGTGTCTCTCTTAAATTTGAAATCTGAAAAAGAAAAAAAACATTTTCCGGCCGGAAACGACGGAAGAAGAACGACCTCGTTGTGAAGATGAGCTTACACGGTCACGTTGTGGCGATAACGATGCAAGGTACATCGCAGATGCGCCAGTTGACCTTACTTAAAGTCACAATTGCGGCGCGCACGCGTGCGCGAACGCATCGTAGATCGTGCCAAGCTGGCAAAAACACATTGTATGACAGTAAGTTCGGTGTACTTACTGCCAAGTCGCCGTTTACAGCGACGAAGTAACTTTGCGGAGGTCATGCGTACAACCACACAACTTTCGAAAGACCACCTGTGCGAGAGATTGCGCGTTTACAGTTGGCACTAAGCTGTTGCGTAACTTTTATCGTTATTTTTCTCCTGTTCCGTATTTTTTTCTTAATTACAGCTACATAAAAATTTCATTTCTAAAATATCATTCTAAAATCGGCATTTACCTAAATTGTATTAAGTTAAAATCGCGGTCGCTGCGTAGTAAAAGGTGCGATGTGAAACGTAATATACCTGATTGCGAAGTGCAAAACGTTAGAACAAATTAGATTAGTGTTACATATGAATTAACATTGTGGTACTATTCTTGCATATTATGATATTTTGTAATGTAGATATTTAATTTCGGCTCGTGTGCTACGTGCGCACGCGAGATAGAAAGTCTGTCTGCTGCACGTTTCACTCGATTTTCACTTGAGTCACGGTCGAGAGAAAGATAAGAACAAAGAAGAATATTTGGGCGATGACGGCAATTTCAAATGTAGATGATAATTCAAAGTGAATAATAATATAATACGAAACACAATTATATCAAGCTAGAATATCACAATTATAAATCTCGATATGAAACTGTAAACGATTATACCGCGCGCTTCTCAGATATAATTTTGTCGCACATGTAGAAATATTAAAAAAATATATATATATTTTGTGAAAAAATGGCTGATTGAAAGAATCATCAGCGTATCGAAAGTTTCGATTCTTGCGTTATTACTGTCCCGCAAAATACCAGGTACGAACCATCATTCTCGATGAACGTGTGCTTAATAACCTTGGACTTTGAACGACGACTCGTCCGGTTGAAAGAGTCGCAATAAACTTAGTAATTGCGTACAATCTCTCAACACATTCAGATCTATCATGTTGTTTCTATATCGCGAAACGTATTTGTTTAATCGGTGAATTATTCTAGATTCTATATAATTGCGACAGAACTTTCCATCCATGATTTTTAATGAAACTAGCAACAATCTAATTAACACGTTTTTTTGGTAGAGACGTCAAATTGAGTCAACGATTCTACTGTTCGTTATCTCTGTTGTTTCGATCTTCGATTGTCATCTCGATCGGTAACGTATCGCTAATAGTGTTCTTTGTTGGAAGCTAGTTTTTAATTTTCATCAATTCAATGTATTCTTTATATCGCGTGGCGTAATATATAATTATTTTTAATGTATAATGTTTTTTTAATGAATGTGCAAAGAGATAAGTGTTCCAATAACCAGGACGAGAAATGCCAGCCGGACATTTGTTTAAAAAAAATTAATTATAACAAGTTAGTTGTATATGTGACATATAACAATTATTTCTTTAATGTCCGATTATTGGGCATTTGTCTTGTGTTCTCGTTGGGATCCATAATTAAAAATAAGTATGATAGATTTTGCAGAAAAATCTATTCTACGCGTCAATCGATCGACCGTGATAAATTTTCATGTATTTCAATAATTTTGTGTACACATTCTAATAGATATTTATTCAAAAAGACATATGCGCGGTCGAAATGCTGCGTTTTATTCTGACGTCAATCAACTCACAATTATAATGTATCAATATTGATGTCCGTCGCAAAGTTCGTTTTTAACTGGTGTTAACAAATAAAATCTTATTCTTTCTTTGTGAAACTCTAATATTCGCATACAAACACACATCGTGAATTATATATAAAACACAATCACACACAATACAAAAAAAGTGAAAAGATTACTGTTTTTTCTGCGCACGTGTCGACACACAAAATTTCAATACGTATCTTAAGATATTTCCGTATCAATATGAGGTTTAATAACGCGTAACATTACAAATAATATCATCTCGATAAGATACGAGACATACTTACTTCTATTCTGCCGTCCTTAGTTAAAAATGTCCTATCTCGCATTTTTGCAGTTTTCAAAATATATAAAAGTATTGAAAGTTCCACACATGTTCCATCTTCTAAATAAAGATAGAAAGTCCTAAAGGCTTTATTAGACGTCCAAAAAGTGTTTAACTTAGTTGTTCTAACTGCTGATGACACAAACAAAAAAATAAAACCTTAGTTTTTTCAATTCTTCCGATATGCTAGATAGGATATTTTAGCTAAGGAGGGTAGTATTTGTTTGCGCTCTAAATAAATCAGAAGAAATTCAAGTTGATCTGTTTTTTAATTAAAAAAAGAAGTAATATTTTAAAAGATAAACTACTTTTTTGAAGCAAAAAAGTCCACATTCGCAAATTGCTTAGCAAACATCGTAAACATACGGTAGAACACTTGTTTACAAATGCGTTTAGATAAGTAAAGTAATTTCGTCAGTGATAAAAGAACATATGTATAATAGGACGACTTATGTTATAAGCGAAATATTCTATTAGCTTAGAGAGCTCACTTTATATATACATATGTGTGTGTGTGTGTGTGTGTGTAAAAAGATCACATAACATAAGACATGTCTGTATACATAGTTTTAAACAAGTGGAAAGAGAGAGAGAGAGCATTTAAGATTTCTGGATATATCCACTCCAGAGATTAAATTGTGATGGTCAAAGAAACAAGAAGTTATATTAACTTTTATTGTTATGAAATTAACACTGTTATTACGCAAAAAATATAAAAAATATAAAAAATATGACTCGAGTGAGTAGTTGATCGATCGTCATTAACGAATGATAGTTGACTCACATAATGCAATAGTGAATATATGATAAGTATAAATGATAAGTGGCATTATTATCTGCATAGATTGTAAAAATATAGAAACAATCTTCGAACCGATCGTGATCGAGACATGTGCTGTAAATGCACGCAACGAAACGTCGAATGTTATTTTGTTCGTTACCATCATATTTTTCTTATCGGACAACTCATGACGAGCGCGTCTCAATCACGAGTTTACTCCAAATTCAATCGTATCGTCGACGCAATGTGACACACAACGGTCTTCTAACAGATACTGTTGCAGGTAAGAAATATAAAACAGATTTTAGAATACAGCCTATGTAAGTATACAGACAACAACATATCACTTTGTTTTCGTTTGCAAACTTATGTCCTCTGAAGAACATTGTGTAACTTCCAGCAGAACTATTGAAACGGTATCTGAAAATAACGGTTAACTGAAAATTCAATAGCTAAAATGATCTATATCTCAGTCCATTTATCAAATTTTAGAAATATGTGAAGAAAACAGACAGACTGTCCAAAATCGATTGTTTCTTTAGATATTACATTACGGCTTTTCGCGCGATATTATGTAATGCTCGTAAGAATTGTAAATAACAAAACTAATAAAATAAGAAAGCAAACAAAACGTTTGTTGATGTCATTTTTATTTAAATTCATTATTTGATAATTGCGATCGGAATATAAAACTTCATTTGTTACGTCAGAAGTGTTTGCGCAAACGTTTCTCACTTCTTCCACAAATTCAAAATGTATCACTATTTTGCATAAACGCGTCATCAGAGCGATAAAAACTGAACCTAGAGCGCATAAAATATCGTGCTTTACGATAAGATAAAAACAATTGTTGCGTTTAATGACAAAGAGATGTAAGAAGCGTATTACGCTCGCTTATCATGTTTACTATATGCAATCAACATAATATGGCATACTAGACAACATTCGTACATAAAAAACGAATGTGCACGTCATCAAAAATAATTAGAAATCGCAACTAACTGCGAGGTAATTGCTTCATTGTGCAACCGTCTTTTAAAGTCCATATCCCAACTATAATATGTCGAGAATTAAAACACGCGTAAAAAAAGTTGGAATTTGATCAATAAAAAAATGATTTAGGCAGAGATCTAGATTGAAACCGAATGACAGACATGTTTATTGCCTTTTGTTAAGAGATGTATATGTAACATATATTATTATGTATCTTCCCGTGTCGTATCTCCCATACATATATACATATGAGAGACATCTCTATAAAATAACAAGAGAAAAATGCAGAGAGATACGGAGAATATACATGATCCATTGCCGCTATGTGTCGTTTCAGATACTTATCACTAGCCTTATGTATAGTATATTTACGCATCTTTATACAAGAGCGTGTGAAAATGAAAAATTGTTTGAAAATATCTTTACGTAAATTACGAAAAAAATCTGTATCTCAATTCGCAGAATTATGCAAGGTTGGGAAAAACAAATAAAATCAATGTTTACTTAAACTTAAAACTTATCAGTGCTAAAAAACAAATCTATTTTACTTCAAATATATGTTTATTGAATGCAAATTTGATTTATTTAAATCCATTTTAATTCACCTAACCAATATTAAATTCTGTATTACAATTGGTATGTCAGCATTTTGTGTTGGACTTTGAACGTAGCATAAATGTGACGCATGTGTTAATCAACTGAAAGAACTAGTCTCTATCTCGTGTTTTCGTTATTCAGACGAACGTTTATCAAGATAATACGTTTTTTTCGTATCAATTCTCAGTCTCGATTGCTACATATATATATATATATATATACATATATACACAGTAGAACCTTGTTTATCCGAAGTGACTTGAGGCCCAACCTCTATTATACAGACCGATAATTTGTATTATAGGAGCTGATAGTCCGTACAATAGAGGTTGGACCTCGGTTATCCAAACTATCTTGTCTCTTGATCAGTCCGGATAAACGAGGTTTTGTATATCTAAACAATACGGTTCAACAAAATAAAAACGCCATTAAATAAAATCAAATAAAAAAATGTTTTCGGTGTCGTGTCATGGTTTAAGAATTTTAAATTTTGACTTACCACCAATATTGACAATCATCGTGTGAATTGCTTTATACGATATCTCACACGCTGATCGGACTCCTTGCTTTTACTCAGACTGTCACTGAGGAAGATCCCAAAGTGGATCGAAACATCTGTGACCATTATTAATAAACATATTCACCAACAACATCCAGGTTTGCTCGCATTGGCCATTTTCCTTATTTTGAAATTTTCACGAGCGGATATTTTACTATAAATCAAATAAACTAGACTCTTCAAAATTTCCAATTGAAAAAAAAAATATATACAAGCATTTGAAGCTTTATAAAACTTACTTTTTTAACATATGTTTTTATGTAAATTTCATATATAAATTTTGATGAAAAAACTCTAAAACTTATTTTTCATTTTTCTAACTTATGAGCAAAAAGAGTAAAAAATCTTGTGTATCTTATATTATGATGACGCATGTTTAAGTTTGTTTGTATACTCTACATGATACAATTATTTTTGAGGACATTGACTTTTAAAAAAATGATAACGACGATAATAAGTTTTTGCTGTTATTTTAACCACTGAATCGTTCGCGAAAGATATTGACGACTTCCAAGGTAAGTATCGCATGTCATCACGTGCTCACAGCAATTGTTTACAAAAACACAATCAATAAATAATCGACATTGTTTTTCTCAAATTGTTTGAAACACAAGTCAGTAAATTACTTGATTAATAATTTCATATTTTTAAGTATAATTTTCATAACTGAAAACTTAATCTGATTTTTCTTCGTACATACAAACTTGGTTTAGTCGTGACGTTTCACGACTAAATCACAGTGATGTTTT